ATTCCTGCAATGAATAGTAGATTTAATAGTAAACAGAAACACCTGTGCCCGTGCATACTATTAATATCTATTTATGTTACGTAATGACAGGACCGTGTTAGGTCGATTGAATGGGTTTTAATAGATAGGCGGTTTGCTTCATTTACTGCACCTTGTAAATGGCCTGTTGTGCATCCTGTTAATGCTATCGAAGATCCGCTATCATATAATGAAATTTTCCAAAAGTTTCAAAACTTTCCGCTTCGATTTTCATTTTTCCCCAACAATCCACTACTCGGCTCAATTTAGTCATCATTTTTGCGTTGATTGCAATCAATGTTTTTCCTTCATTTCCATTGTTTCCTCTAGTCAGTATGTTTCTATTTGCTTCTGTTATGAATATGAAATTGGTCTTCGTATCACGGGTTTTTTTATTTAAATTTGATCTCTTGTTGGGTGATTTTGTCAATACGTTTTTATCCCAACGAGAAAACTAAAAGGGTTTTAACGAGAAAAAAACGCAATAGGGTGTTTCCATTGTATCAAAGATTCCTACAAACTGAACATTAATCTATGGTAATATGATAGATTAAATAAGTTTATACTATCTATCTATCTATTGCTATTTTGTTAAATATTTAATAAACCAATGCAGCTAAAATTCAAATTATTCATGAATCTTTAAAACGCAATCCTATTGGTTGTGACGTTTCTGGTCATATAAATGGCGGATTGTTTACGTTCTGTGCAACGTGTTTAGTTGTGTGGATTTAAATAATTTATAGTTTGTGTTAAACTAAAAATGGCTTCAGAAGGATTCCTTAAAGCGTCAACAAACAATTTACCAGGTGTACATATTTTCATGGTTACCGAATTTTTAAAAAACGACGAAAGCTTCAATTCAACTGAATTAAGGGTGTCAAAGCAGCAGCGGAAGTAAAAATCCGTAAACTCATTATTAGTTACACTCTCCTTAATATACTAATCTGTCTGTATTGGTTTACATTAGGTAAATAATATATATAATTTCACTTATTCAACCTAACCTAACCTATACACATGGCTGCTTTAAAAGTAAAATTAACTCTTAAATTTGCATTTTGGGCATTACGAGAACAATATGGTGATATCGGATATGTGGAATTGAAACGCGAGGATTTTTTGTGCACTGTACAAGGTAGAATTTGCCCACAACACAGAGTACGATCAAAGGCATATTCTGTATGCCTCATCATTAGCTTTTTGTTCGTACTTTCATTAAATTGATCCCCGCAATAAAAAACATTGATTTTGATTTAGGAACATCACGTCCAGCTGCTTTGAACCATAAAAATTTACGTGCATAATCATGGGGAACGGTTAGAAAGAGTTTGTTTGGAGCGCTTATTGAGGTATTCTTGCATCCTGGGACAAAACACCACTTATTCTGTGATCCATACATGTCACTATTTTCCATTATTCAAGATAAGAATAATCAATAAAATAATGATAATTAGAATAACTTAAATAATAAAACAAAGCTGCGATAACAACAAAATAAACACGAGACACTTTGTTGATATGACCTGCTACGTCACAATCGGGATAGGCAACCGATGATACGGATTTGGCGTTTTTGGCGCAAAATATCTGATTTGAATTTAAATTCGCTTTAATATTATTATGGAGACTTTTTTGCAAAAAAAATTATATCAGTGTTATGTTTGCCATAACTACTTTCTAGATATCAACATTTAAAAAAAAGTGAAAACACCCTATTGTTATCTAACGTACATAAAACGGCCTTAGAAACATTTTTCAGAAACAAAAGTTTTTTTCACCTCTCGCTCATTTTACATGTTTGAAAAAGTTTATTTTCGTTTTGCTAGTAAGCTGATTTCAGATTTTTAGAGCATTATCGTATGTTTCGCATAAGAAAATTAGTGTGAGTCTTAGTCTTTGACTCATACTTAGAGAACCGGATGGGCTGCAAAGCTTTAGTTGTCCTTGGGGAATAGAGCTGTGAAATGCGCAATTTTTGATATCAAACATCTGTTTATAAATGTGTAATTTTCTCGCAAAAAGCGAAAATTTGAAATTAGTGCGAGTCTTGAGAACCGCTGTTAGTCTTTGGCTCATATCTAGAGAAACGGTTTAGCTGCAAAGCTCTAGTTGTTCTTGTAGCATAAAGCCTTAAAATGCGCAGTTTTTCATGTCAAAAATAATTTTAGAAATGTGTCTTAGTTTTGATGCAAAAGGCAAAAACTTTAAATTAGTGCAGGTTTCGAAAACCGCGTTTTGCTTTACGCTCATATCTAGAGAACTGGTTTAGTTGCAAAGCTCTAGTCGTTTTTGTCGTGTAAAGCCGTAAAATGCACACTTTTCATATGAAACATCATTTCAGTAAAGTGTATAGTTTTCATGCAAATTACGAATATTCAAAATTAGTCTTGAGAACCGCGCTTAGTTTTCGAGATATACAGAGAACTGGTGGAGCTGTAATTGTTATTGTACGATAGAGCCTTTAAATGCACACTTTTTACGGCAAACATCATTTTACGAATGTCTCTGGCGTTTACGCAAAGCGCTAAAGTTCGGAATTATGCTGCCTTAAAAACCGCTCTTTGTTTAGAAAATGTTTAGAATATGGTTGAACTGCGACGCTCTAATTGTTCCTGCGGGAAATCGGCTCAAATTGGTCACTTTTCTATAGCAAACATTTTTTTCAAAACTTTAGTAGTTTCCACGCAAAATGCAAAAATTTGACTAATTTGATTTCAAACTTTGTTCCTCTAGACAAAAACTTAATAGTTTCATCAAAATTAACAAATTAGCTCGAGTTTCGGTACGGGTTCGATTAGAAAATCAAAATTGTCAAAAAATTCTAACAAAAAAGACTAATTACATTAAAAAATTTGAAATTAAATCAGCATTTTACTACACTGTGTGTTTAAAAACTGTAACTTGTGCAGACTATAATTTCGTGAGTTTTTCCAATTCCTAATTCGACTTTGGCGCTCAGCTCTATTAGCGAATTGCTACTATTGCACAATGGCAATTAGCTGAAAGTTGGATTTAAAATGTCCCATATGAAAGAGATATGCCTACATGTGGAGTGTTAATCAGCAAAATTAATTAATTGTAATTATCAAATTTGTCATTGATTTTCGCATGCACAGTTTAATAATAAAACACTGCAACCACCCTGTGAACGCGCACACACACACACGTTTAATTATTCATTAAAGTATGGAGTTCGCAATTAGTCTTCGGTTGCACAATAAAGTTATTGAACGTTGTAATTGCATGGTTTTGAATTGGAAAATGCCTACCTACGCACCTCTTTAAAAATACCACTTTTAACTATCGACGTAATTGTTGGAATTGCGCTGGTTGAACGATTCGATATCGACTTACCATCATGTTTTAAACACATCGAGTAGGATTACAACAAGAATTTCAAGTCATTGTTTTGCTAATTGACTGCTCCGAACCGGTTACAAACTGTTACATTTTGAATGATTTTTTTTCGGATTAACCATGGAAAATGCMGTTTTTATTCCAATTTTTCGCAGTTTCCAAAAGGAAGCACGCTCAGAATGCGGCACTYTGCCGCTGACGTTCAAGGAAAAGATTCACTTCTTTYGGCATTGAGGCCAATCGGGTAGAATTTTAATGCATGTGWAGGCTRATCGCGAAATTAGCCAGAAACCTATGCAAAATAGATGCAAAGCTAGCAAGTATATGTTGAAAAACCCACTTCAAGTKACCAGTTGCAYGTCCATTCTCAGTTAGATTCGCCGCATTTTCGCATAACAGCGATGAATGTTAATGCGACACTCTGTATATGAGATGGCAATTGCGTGAAGCGTAAAGTCGGTTAAGACAGCAAGAAAATGCTGGAACAGTTCTGAAGAAAAACACGTCTGCGAAGTAAAGATTCATCTGAAGTTTTTCCTGAAGTTCTACGAAATCAGTTGAGGTCCTCAGGTGTGCAACCCTTGAGGATGAAACTAATGGGTTTTTCGGGTTTTTAGGCCGTCGTTCGGTAGAATTTCTTCTTGACGTTTCGCAAGCACGAGTGGCTTGCATCTTCAGAAGTGGTTTGCTTGAACAGTGTAAGCGTTGGCCTCGAAAGAAAGAGGCCTCGAAAGTCTATTTCTTTTGATAACCCTTGAGGATGTTTGAAGATCGTTAACACCCGAAACGTTGCGCGTTTAGTTGAAATTTATAATATCGAGACGCGTTTGAACACAGAGCGTTTGTTGGATTTAACTAAAAATTACCAAATAAAGCTCGGTCAGCTTTAAATGATTGTCGACGGCGAACGAAAATGAATTCTATTTATTGCTGGCTACTTAACTTTAATTCAACACAGGCATTCTAATCTAGTTTAATTTTTAAATTGCTCGCCCATTAGCAATGAAATACCAATTGGCGTAAATAGTTTCATTACGAAACCCGTTTTAGCACACAACTATGTTGAATAAAACAAGAAGAAAAACCGTTCGCGACAACGAATAGTGGGAAAAAAACTCGACTGGTTCGTATTATTGTAATTAAGTTGGGCTTTAAAATGTCTGAAATACATCAAAAAGTATTCAGCATTTATCGTTGGATGGATGTTGCCTGTATATTGTAAGTATATATGGAACGTTTCTATAAAACGGTCAATTAAATTAATCCGCCGGGGCGTCGGGTGGCCGGTCTATTTCGTTTCATTTCTTTGAAATTCTTTTAAAGCGTGAAGAAATCTGTAATATGCTTCAGTTTCTTTTACGTATTGTTTGTTTTAACGTCATTTTACGTTCAACTATTTAACGTGAATTGCTCAAAACCGTTTTCCTGCCCGTTTCAGAGTTTCAGTATTGTTTTACTTTTGAATGAGTCATAGCTTTAAGAGAAACGTCGTGCTAAATTTCCATTGCGCTTTTGAATGCATTCAGATGAAGAGGATGAAGCAGACAAACCGTTTAAACTCGTCATCATCTTGTAAATAAAAGTAACAAACGAAGTTGAAGAAGAAATTTTCTCAATTACAGAAGCACCCGGTTGTTGTGGGAAGCGCTAGTGAAACTGAAGAGCCAGCAAGACAACAAGAAGCTGAACATTTTTTAAAATTAAAGAAGCAACAAGTCGGAGTTGAAGCAGAAACTTCTTCAATTGAGGAACTGAGGTTTTGAGCCTTCCAAGCCTTTTACAAGAAAACTTAGATCGGAATCTGTTAGGTAGGTACTAGATGAAGGTGAAATTGACAATAAACGCACGCAATTTTTTTCCCTTTGAGCAAAGACTTGAAGGGAAAACAAAGGGTCGCACATTCAAAGATCTGCCACCCATGCAAGGGAAACGTTGTGTTGAAATATCAATGAAAGTCGTTTGCAGAGACAATGTACAATGCAACATTTTGAAGAAATGCGTCAACGTTCTTTCTACGTGTAATTCTAGTCATAAATAAGGGGTTGTTGGTTCTCTCACATCCATAAATTTCCTGTTGAATGTGAAAAAGCCAAGCAAATCACTTCACTGTGGAAAAAATGATCAAACATATGTTAAGAATGGTCGGCTCAGGTAGTTGAAGCAGCTACAATGTTTCGTCTTTTTAACAACGTAACGCATCAAGGAGCTGGCTAATTAAACACATGCGAAAACGAAAGGGAGAATAGGAAGCAGAATGCTAATGAACGGTTCCCTTTTGTGGTTCTGTGATCGGGCTTTTTACGATTTAAGTCCAATTTACTGTTAGTGTCAAGGCCCAAAATCTGATGAACATGCAACGTGGGCGACTTATGTTATTAAGTGACCACTAATAATTCTTTACGAGCTGGATTTTTGTGGTTCAGACCAACGTCCGTCGGATAATCGATTTTTAATGTAGGCATCTATCAATGATTGGAATATCTGTATTGTTTTCAATGGCTACTTGATAATGCGGTCTCGTCATCAGTTAATTAGTTCTGGATCACATGCTGCTATGAGTCAAACTATCTCAAACGCACCTGAACAGTTAATCCAAAAATTATATCCAGATAGCACGGGAACACTTGCTGCTATGAGAACTGAAACAATTCATCAGGTTCCACTGGCAAAACGGAATTAAAGATTGATCAAAGAACACACACTCGTAAGCGAAGCGACGATAGAACCGAACGGTACGCGCTACGTGGTCGCAACACATAAAACCTTACGTGGTACTTTGGGTACTAGCCGGACTCGTAGTAGTTGCTACACGCTACACTATAAAACCTACTCCAAACACTTCTCGGGTACGATCGCGACTATCGAAATGTGGTGGGAGACTGGCTGAGAGATGTGATACTTCCAAGAATTCGACAATAGAACCACTTCAGGGTTCGTAATGGGCCCCTTGAGATAACAATGGAACCATGTTTTGGTGTTCTTTTTTCTGTAAATTTCGAAATGATGACCCACGATACTGGACGGCCGTTTTTCGAGGGATTCTCGTCTTGGAACCTGCTTTATAGTTAGTTTAGGCCCGCATGACTCGGGACGAATTCAATTGTTTGCCGCAGGTGAAGATTGATGAACAGTACCTAGCCTATCAATGAAGCACGAACAATAAAGTTCGTTACACAAGATTGTAGTGCTTCGCCAAAGACCACCTGTAATCGCTTATTAATATCACCTTTTGTATGCCAACGTCGGTTGATTTCTTCTAGGAATTGTTGATGTAGAAAGTGCAAATTAGTTCTTCATACTTTAGAAAAACCGGACTTTCTGTGGGCTTTTTTTACTTCTTTTCGGCTTATTTTCTCACTTAAGTGAGGCTGAGTGACAGTGACATTCACAACTGCCAACTGCCAAGAGCAGTAGAGACTTTGACAAACAGTGACATGAAAGACGCATTTAGAATTGCCAAAGGGACAGAAGATTTCACTCAATGTTTCCGATCATATAAATCAAACATGTTTCAAGCGAGGCACAAGCGCAAATGATAAAAAACTGTTAAGAATATATAAGCGCTGAAGAAAACCGGCGCTCAGTTCTCACGAAAACTGGCTTGATGAGATGTTTTGCAGCGAATGTCATGTTCTAACTGCTGCTGGCGAGTGACAGTGACATTAAAGGCAAATTTAGAACTGCCAGCTATCAGAGTAGAGACTTTGACAACAATGCTACGAAATGTCATAGGAATCAAACATGTTCCAAGAGAGAAACAAGCGCAAATGATAAAACTGCGCCGAATATTTTTGTCTGAAACAAGAACTAAATACAAAAATGATTTAGTTCTCACTAAAACCGAGCTTGATGAGAAGTTTCGAAGCAAACGTCATGTTCTGATTGCTGTCAGCGAGTGACAGTGACATTAAAGGCGAATTTACAACTGTCAAATGTCACGCACAGCAAAGACTTTGTCAATAATGACATGAAAGGCGCATTTACAGTTGCCAAGAAAATGTCATAGAAATCATACATGTTTTGAAAAAAGACAACGAATCAGAGCTAAAGATGAGTGAAAGAAAAACGCACAGAAGACCGCGTGAAAACCCTTATGCATCGATATAACTAGGGGAAGGGATAGGTATGAGGGGGATCATCCAGATAGTTACGAAGAAAACCCGCAAAACTGTTAATAGGAATTTTTCTCTTCCTTTGCACGCTGCACGGAAATTTCTGGGTCAATCCTTGCATGTGGCAACATTACGAAGAAATTATGCATCCGCAAGAAATGAAGCCAACTACATAGTTAAGTGAACTTAAAGCCGGAAAACTAAGTACAAATATTGAAGGTTTCTATGAGTTGCCACCGTTAAATGCACCATTAAAGGCAATAAAATATGCTCCTTGGCTGTACGAAGTATTATAAATGATCAGATTATAATTAAATGGCCTCACGTTAAAGCCAGAAGTACGCAGTGATTATAACCGAACAAATCGCTGGTTGTTTATTTCAGAAATCTTATCTGTCCGTGCGTCCGGCTAGAAGGACCACATTATGATTGTGAACGCATTGTAAAACAAACACCTTAGTACCTAGTCGAAGTTTCCAGATATACAATTTTATCTTGTTTAATCAGCTCGGTAATACAGTATGTAAATGGCAGCAAACATTGTTTCAAATGTAACTGAAGCTGTTAAACGTTTAATCGGTTTTACAACTTCTTTATCACTTTTATTTCGTTTATTTGATTTGCAACAATGGAAAGCGTTGTATTATTGGCACTGAAATATGTTTCATTAATGGGGGCTCAGAATCGGAATTATCTCAGCAAGCCAGGAAAGTAGTAGGATTAATGGTTTTGCCAACGTTTACAATGTTGCCTGGAATCTTCCGAAACTTTTATCGATTTAACAAGGATTTTTGATGATTTTCATGCGTCCACATTGTTGTTGACTCTTGCAATGGCTCAGCTACCGAAGCACTGGCGGATTAATTGTACTTTGACTTTGAGGTTAGTAGGAGTGTTCGTTCTTGTAGTCCTTTGCAATGCACTCACATTGTTTCATTCATTTGGAAAATCATGGGAAAAAATTAATCCAATTATGGGCAGTTTTGTATGTCCATTGACGCCGCTCTAAAGAGCGCGAGACCTTGAAACTCGCCGTATGATCAATGAGGGAAAACTCTAATGGCGACGGACCAGCACGCGAAGTTTGCGGGAAAACATCGTAATTTAGCGGTGAGTTTTCGTGAAATTTCTAGGTCACTTTTTGCGCCTGGATCGCTGCTGAAAAACTGCTGAATTTCCACCGCTTCCATGATAAATGGCCCGATCCAGACATGTACCTGGCGCTGCTAGTGATATTTTATTCGGGCCAAAACAGGGTGTGTTTGCCGTAAATCAGATCGTTTTGAAACAATGAGATATTTAGAAGGGATGTGTTTTCTTGGGGTGGGCGGTTTCAATGCATTCTTATATAAAATGCCAATTTGGTTTTATTGAACATTGGCTAAATCGTCTCAATTGAACTGGATCAGCCTTGCATGGAATTTGCGGTGTTTTTCGCTTTATTGTAGGCAAACTGGCAAGTTAAACCCCATATCCAAAGCCCTGGTCTAAGACAGAAACACTGCGAATAGCAAATGATGAGAATTCTGCACTGAGACACATATTGACGATTTGATATCCAATATTGACTTGATTAATGGAATCATTTCCTGGAAAGGCAGTCAATAATGGCAAATCGATTGTTGAAACGAATATCGCCGGGTTTATGTCACATGCTTCCAGTCGCTTTAGGGAAAATCTTACGTATATGTGTGAGTGTGCACGTGATAGGTGGATAATAATACCTGATTGTGTTTAGAGAGATTCTGGATAAGATATTTATAATTTATTTTCATTCTCGGAACTAGTCGAATCGATCATTACGTAAAGTCGCAGTGTTTTTTAGGTTAAGCACGGGTTTCCAGCCCCAAAATGCGCATTTTTCCCGTTCAGTTCTCCGTGCGTCCATCGGTTACTAAGCTGCGCTTCTTCGCGGGGCGTGGCTAAGTAATAGAAGCGTCAGCACATTCGTTCGCTTGAGATAAATCAACCAATGAAAGCAATTTTTTCTAAGAAGGTTGAAGAGTCAAAATTCCTTCACTAGTTGAGCCGATCTTTATGTTTTGTGTTAAGTTTAAGTTAAGCAAATGCTTCCATCCCACAGCGCCTTCATTCCGTTCTGTGTCCAATCCATTGAGAAGAAACTTTTGTCGATTTAACAATGTTGTTCTGACCTGATTTTTCGTAGAACCATCAAGTTCAATGATCTCGCTCCCGATGCATTCAGATTTTTGTTTCTCTTCACTGCGACTTCACGGGGTTTTTGGGGTGCTGTTCCTATTGACCAGTTTTACTCAATACGATCAGTAACGGGTTATTCGACACATTCAGTGCCGTCACACATTGACACCCTGTTCAATTAACTTTAGAAAGTCCATAGTAAATTCTTGTTTATTTACCTGCTGTTTGTTTGATTTATCGGTGCGACAAAGATGCTGGTTCTTTTACCTGGAACAATAGATTGTTTTAGAATTTGCCTCCTGCGGATTTATGATACTAGGGGGTATTCCTTTTACACCATCAACATAATGGTTCACTAGAGCCAACGGCCCATTCGAGGAATGTTTCGGAAGGTCTAATGGGGAAACCACTAAATATGCTTAAATAAACCGTGATTGCACACTATTGCTCTAAGATTCCAAACAAACAAGGCGAAGGTGAAGTTCCGAACGCTATTTCACAGTATGTAAACTCGGCCAAACACATTTATGTTGATTTAGGACGATTTGGTTCGGAACGCCAAATGGTGTCGTTTCACGCATTCAATGGGTGATCTGTGCATTAGAACGTTGTAGCGAAAAGGGACTTAATGGTTCAAAATCAGGCACTTTTTTGTTTTCGCTCGAAGGGATGAAAAGTCGGGGTTTTGTACGTTTAAAGGGACGAGGCTCTATAGGATAGCTTCCATTGGTTGGGTTTAGTCAGTTGTTAGTTTCCATCGTTTGCGGCTTTTGAGGTTAAGTTTTAAATGGGGTTCCTCAAAACATGGTCCTGAACGGCTAAAAGCAAGCACCAGGCGTGAAAAACCATTGTCCGTTTTGCATATTTTCGCTCGAAAGTTTCTGTTCTAACCACAAACGGCATTGACGTTTGTAAACAATGAAAACTGATGTTGTGAAGTGAGGTTATAAAAATCGGTTGACAAACGCAAAGCAGTTGATTTTTCAGAGAATGTGAACATCAGCTTTGATTGTTTACATGTAATAGGTTCGAGCTGTTTGTGATGAGATAATACGTAATCACTTTTCCCCATTAAGCAGTTTGGTCTGGAATGTTTCAGCTTTAATTTTCATCGTTGTTTTAAATCGATACTCTCGTTCTGACTGCTTGGAAACTGCTTCTTTTGTTTATGTGTGTCAAACGCCGCTGCAGTAGTTGAACATTCGTGCAATGAACATAGAATATTCCATAAATTGTTATTAAATTAATCATGTGGCAGGCAGCATCGCGGCGATATTAAGTAATAAGTGGAAATATATAGACTTGTTTACTTGTCTATTGCATTACAAAATCCTCAATCAGTAACAGCGCATTTTTACGATTCACTTTAAATAATGAATGGCAATAAATAGAAACGGCTGCAATATTGAGCTTATCATGACTAACATGTGGCTACCAAAAACACTTAATATTTGAACGGGTACAGACAATAATAACCATCGCCGTTTAAAGCGACTATTTCAGATAAAACGTTCATTCATTTCCAAGTATCCGCATCTACCGTGTGTCCTCTTATCGGGTGTGTACATAACCAAAAGTACCTATTCGGTAGGTTATTTACAGTTTTT